TAGCAAGTTGATTTATTATTATACCTTCAGCTGGGCTGTGCACCAAAGCATTTTGATGATGAAAGGAATGTTACACACACATTTAATTACTGCCCACATTTTTGTATAATTTTATCATTTACTGTTTTAGATGAGACATCGAGTTCTTCTACAGGAAAGATGCCCAGTAAAAAATAGATGATTTAAAAGCTAATCTGAGATGAGTTTGGCACTTACATGTGAGAAAACATAATTGTTCCTTTTGTCCTGCCCTTTCAGATGGTCCCTGATTACCAAAATGTACAAGAACTCCCTTATCTGGACATGGTGATTGCGGAGACATTGCGCATGTACCCACCTGCATTCAGGTATCTTTTTTTCGCCCTTCTGATTACACAGGATAGATCCCTGGCTCTATGAAATGGAAATCTGCTGTTGGAAGACCAATGGTCTCTCAGTGTCTGTGCCAACATGCTTTGTGAATTTGAAAGATATAATGTGGCCTGTTGAAGGAAAGCTGGATAATTCTGGTATTTCTAATGCACATTTTTACAGTGAATTGTCCAAGGTTGCTTCCTCACCATTCTTCACATCCCCCAAGGTTAGAGGACAGAACCATTTTGAAGCAGGTCTGGCCTTAGAAACACAGAGGCTGCTGCTTCCATGTGCCTCAGGCTTTAGGGATGTGCACCAAAACCCATCCCTTCCCTGTTGGTTATTATGGCCCTGATCTGTGGAAGGGTTGCCCAATCTGAAAGCTGTAGTTTACATGTGTGTTTAACTTTGGCCCAGTAACACCTAGCACTGCCTTATACTAATAGAGCTACACTAATGGTAACATCCATTAGTTTTTGAAAGTTTTGTCCCAAATCACACATGACTTATTCTACTATATTGATGAACAGAAAGCAAGGGAAAAATAAAGTCAAAAACTGATTGTTAAAGCTCTGAATTATCACAAGCATAAACACAAATATTAAGAAATACAATTTTTCAAAGTGATCAGCCCCAAATATTAAGAAATACAATTTTTCAAAGTGATCAGCCCCTTGCAATGCTTCTCATGACGCTCAGGGAAAATGTAGATGACTGGAAAGAAGCCAAAGCTGAACATGCTGTGAGAGCTTTTGAAGAATTTAACCCATGACTGCAAACACCTTAAAACAAACGAAAAAAAGCTTAAAATCATATTCTCTTCTATATGTTCACCAAGATTGGAAGTCAAGATTTTTTTCATGGGCATCTGCAGGATTGTTCAGAGAGAAAATATCAAAGAGATCTGCTGGATGAGATGATGGAGCTTTACTGTTATACTTGGGGTACAAATGGAAACTGTTCTGCTGGCTAAAGTGATAGGGGTCTTTGAGTTTGGGCTGTACCACTGGGAAACAATCTATGTTTGTCAGATGGGAGACAGAACGAGAATGGAACTAAGTTCTTCTGGAGGTTTGTTTGGCACTCTCAGTGCTGTTTATTGATCTGGCTTTTACTCTGATGGATGTGGAATGGATAGGACAGCCCACAGCCGCTGAAAGATGTTAATTGCCTATGACAGGGATAATGCTGAGTTAAGGGAAAAATCAGTAGCTGCCAAGTTTGTTATAAAATGAGTTGGTTTCATTTTTTTTTTAATGGAAAACTTTCTCCCCCATAACTGGTGTTACCATTATCACCAAATTCATGTAAGAACGAGAAGGATAGCTTGTTCCATGTTTGGAGCCTCTGTTATTTATTTGTCTATGAGAAAGGGAGATGGGTGACAGAAAGGAAATAATGTGTTTCTGTAATGATACTAGACTGAAAGCCCTAAAGCTGAAATCTTTGTTCAGCTTTTCTAGCAGGGTGTGGGAAGCAGCAAAGGAAGCTCTTGCACATTGTCTCACCCCTGTGCTTGCAGATGGTGGCAGGGAATAGTTCCCAGACTGAGACAGCAGGGCACCCACCTGGGTCTGGGCTGATTTGGGATCTGTAGAGACCACTCAAGCACCAAAGGATCTGGATCAGAACCTACCACCACACATGCACACCCACACACAATCTTTTGTAAGAGACAAGCTGAGCTCTGGCAGGCAGCTTTTCTCAGTCTTGTCATGATGAGGTTCCTAAGGACACCTCTGTCACCTATCACCACAGGGTGGGAGAAAACTGCAGAGTTTTGGTTGTTAACATCATGCCTGTCTTTGATGAATATATGTGAAATGTGGCTTTCTGAGGCTTGTGAATTGGTTGTATTTCCAGAGTAGCAGCAGCAGCAGAACACTCAGCCCCAATATTAAAACAATCCCTTGGTCAGTTTCAGGAGCTGCACCAACAGTGTTTCTCAGTTAAACAAACTTAGAGCTATATTTACTATCCTTTTTTCCCTGGAAGCAAACCAGC